ACCTGAGGGGATGGCTACTATACCCGTGAGAAACCCATGTGTGAACCATGTGGTCAGATATTCCACCAGGTGCCTGCTAGGGTGTGACCTTAAGTAAAAAAACAGGTTGTCGACATTAATGTCGGTTAGTCATTTGTTTGGGGACAACCTGGCCGGACACATGGTCTTGGTATGTGCCCTGAAGCAAATGGGGCAGATGTGCAACAATCTACAAGCGCTGAAACTGCAGGAGCCTGTGTTGAAATTATTGCACACCTGCGCCTTGCCTAAAAAGGAGATGGGCCTACCCAGCTTGTCACGTAGACCACCCGTTGGTTTGTTGTGAGGGGTGTAAGAGGTATGAGGGGTGGGAGTGGAGGTGGTGGGATCTGCTTCAGAGGGACATAAGTCCGCCATGTGGGATGTGGAATTACATAAGGAACAAGACGGGGGCCTGAGACCAGCGAAGTGGCGACAGAAAAGTTCTGTATCCAACTGACACCAGTTAATTCTAACGTTGAACTGTTTCAGATGGGTCGCCGCCTTCGCTGATACGGACTTATGATAGTCGTAGAAAGAAGAGCCCCTGTACTTGATGCCTAGATCCACCACCTTGTGAAGGTAGAGGTCTAACTCCTCTCTTCTGTGGGGATACACCGTGCAGATGACGTCACGGTATATCCCGAAAGCTATCACGAACTGGGGAATTGAAAGTTTTTTGTTAAGCCTGGGATCTCTTGTTTTAAGAACTACTGATATATCCCCGTAATTGTAAGCCTTGTTCTCCAGTATGTCCTGTGAAGCAGAGACTCCAGACACACGTCCTTCCCGTCTAGGATTTCTTTCCTGATAGAGTCTGGGACGGAGTGAGCTGGTGACTCGAAAGGAGCTATAGCTGTGACTGGTGTTGGCGAGGGGAGTATGGGGGGGCATGCTGGTACAGCGGGGACAGCCGGGGTGGAGACTGGGAGGCCCGAGGTATTACCTGAGGAGGCGATGGCGCTCTCCACCTTAGATAGCCTGCTATTAAGGGTCTGTAGGTTGGCAAAGATTGCTGCCAGGGTATCCTGGGTGGCCGTGCCAGTGCTTGGTGGCTGTCCTTGAGAGCTAGTGCTTGGCCTAGGCTCAGGGGCTTGGAAGGTAAGCAGCCTATAAAGTTCTGCCTTTCTAGCTGTGGCTGGAAAGGAGATTCCCCTGAGCCTAAGCTCGGCCGTAATTTTAGGAATAGTCCATGCTCTCAAGGACGTGGGAGTTGAAGGGGTGAGAGATTCTCCTGGAGACTCTGGTCTGATTGGCGTAAACGGTATCTCTTCTGGCAGTTCTTCGATGGGGATTGATTCTTGGGACATTCTAAAAGAAATTATTTTGTGAATGAGATATTAGACAGGGAGTAAGGAAACGTGGGGGGGATGTGAGGGATGGTATTTATTGGAAGAACTGGACTGTAATGCTAGTGCCGAAGCAAAAAACTTATCTGTGGGATTTTTGGTAGGTGAGGCCCTGCTAATGCCAAGTGGCAGTGAGAGGCTCTACCTATGATTTGGCTTAGGAAATTGAGGCCACAGACGTGGTGGCAGGGTGTTGGCCTCTCGGTGACTGTAAAGAGAATTCAAAACGTGTGGCCGTGACAGGTGAGGCCCTGACTAAAGCCCTGTAGTAGGGCGGGCGAGGCGTATAACTATGATTTGGGCATGGGGCCGTACCTCCATGTTGAGGTGGGAGATGGCCTCGCGGGACCGGATTACCTAATAGGGTGAGCTAAGGCGGTAGCCTAGACCCAGTAGCCAGTTCAATAGTATACTTAAGGTTGACTGGGAATTTCTGGTGTAATGTGTGGATACTAACCTTGAAAGGTTGTAAATGATAACTGGAACCTTGTAGTATTTTTTAATGTGGCGACTCTTGTCTGCTGCTGTTCTTAATGAAGAAGCCTGAGGATTAAGACAGATGTTGATGTATTTATGCGTATCGTGGTGACGTATGGTTTGTAGTGAGGGTTGGCTGTTAGGAGCGTAATGTGAGATCCTGAATTGAGGGATCTGAGAGGTTTAGTATAGGAATCGGGATGAGTTTGCGTTAAAGAGAAAGGCTGATTGAGGCCTTGGGGTAGTGGTTGCCGTACGTGAGTAGGGACGTAAGTACCTGATGGTATGCCTGAGTACCGGATCAGGTAGGTTGGATGTTTTCCTTGGCCTGATGGCAGTATGACCGTAGGCCTGGGTAGAGAAATTGTAAAGAATTAACATACTGTGGGCGTAACACCGTGAGTCAAATGTAATGAGACCGAGACCGCGTAAGGTCTTGTATAGAAAGGTCTTGAAAGAGTGGGGAATTATACCTTGAATTAAGTATGAAACTTGTGATGAGCGTAACTGGTTTAATGTGTAGAAACCGGTGGAGGCCTAGAATACTACTGGAGCTAAGGATTAACCAAAGAATTTTTAAATAGTTAATGACAGATGTGACAGTATGTAATAAAACCAACATGACTTGCTGTGACAAGTCTAGATAGCTAATTGTATTTGAGGCCTAGACCTGGATGAAACCAAAGTGAGAAAAATTTTATACCTTTTCCTGTAATAAAAGAACTTGAAATAGCAACTTTGAGCAGGAATGCAAGAAACCGATGCAATCTGTAAAGCCAAAAGACAAGTGACAGAGGCAAGAATAAATGACTGCGTGATTCTAAGGAGAAGATGTAGTACAGAAGTGGATTTAATGCAATTACCCTAGAAGATCATGTTTAATAATTAATATTTGTATGTAGGGTTTGAATAGGGTTGGTGTATAGTTAGAAAAACCTGTTCTTTATATTGGTAACATGAGAAGTCTATAAGAATTGATAAAATGAATATTAAAACGTGGTTACTATTTAATTAGGTGTAAGAAAAAGAACCGTATCTTAAAAATAATTGTTTGAGATTTTTAAATGTATTAGATATATCAGACCGGACCAATACTGACATGTAGGTATCATCAGTTAACTGACCGAACAGGGAATATGTGTTTACATTTAAAATTCTTGTAAATGAATTCATGAATTTACTTAGCATAGTTTAAAAGAATTAACCGTAATAGGGATTTGTACCGTGCGTTCGTTTAAACCGTACGAATAGATCAGTACTGAATGAGAAAATAGCGAGGGGTGAATAGGATTGTCGTCTAACGTTAAGGATGCACGAACGGGTAAGTACGAGGTTCGTGCGTATGACCGAACAGAAATACCGAAATACAATGATTAATATGAGCGTTTATACTTCTACATAGTTCGGTAGTTTTTCCATACGAATACGTGAACGATGCGTAAGTGTAACGGGCGTTCGTCCGTTTTGGCGCGAACGCTGAATACGTTAACCGAGCATGGATATGTTTAAAGAAGACAGAGGGAGCCTACCCCTACATTTTTAGGCCCGAACGGAGGGAAATAGCCCCTCGCTTAGCTTACGTGAGTTTACGTGAGTGTGCCGGTCTCGTGACCGGAAGCCAGGTACCGCGACCGGTCGGAAAAAAACGCGCTGGGCCTCAGAACGGACGGAGGATTGCTCTGGACCTCTTGCTGCAGGAGACTGAAGCTGTTCTGACGGGAAGCTCGGACCGGAAGTGCTGGTTGCTATGGGGATAGACAATCAGCTGAACGGCAGAGGTGAGTAGGGGCTGGGAGTTTAAGTAGGGGACTTACTCCTCCCACAAATTCAGGCCTAATGGCCCTTCTACATATATATATATATATATATATATATATACATAATCACAACTCATAATCCACTACATGTGGTTTAGACAATAAAAGTGCACAGAAATTCACAGAAAAAGACACCACCGAATATATATTGGAAGTATTCAGTTGTATATAAAATGTCTAACAAAAAAGTAGAGAGGGAATTTGGAGCCACTCATCCCAAACAATGGAATGGCTTAAAAATGAAAATACCGTATATACTCTAGTATAAGCTGACCCGAAAATAAGCCGAGGCCCCTAATTTTACCACAAAAAACTGGGAAAACCTATTGACTCGAGTATAAGCCTAGGGTGAGAAATGCAGCAGCTATTTTCTAAATAAAATTAGATCCCAATAAAATTACATTAATTGAATATTTATTTACAGTGTGTGTATATAATGAATGCAGTGTGTGTATATAATGAATGCAGTGTGTGTGTGTTGTGTGTGTATATAATAAATGCAGAGTGTGTGTTTGTGTGTGTGTATAATGAATGCAGTGTGTGTTTGTGTGTTGTGTGTGTATATAATGAATGCAGAGTGTGTGTTTGTGTGTGTATATAATGAATGCAGAGTGTGTGTTTGTGTGTTGTGTGTGTATATAATGAATGCACAGTGTGTGTTTGTGTGTTGTGTGTGTATATAATGAATGCAGAGTGTGTGTGTGTATATAATGAATGCAGAGTGTGTGTTTGTGTGTTGTGTGTGTATATAATGAATGCACAGTGTGTGTTTGTGTGTGTATATAATGAATGCAGTGTGTATATAATGCAGTATGTGTTTGTGTGAATGCAGTGTGTGTAAATTGGGTGAGGGGGTGGCATTTTTATTTTAATTTAAATATTATTTTAATATTATTATAATATTATATTATTTTAATATTATTATTTTATTTTATTATTATGTTATTATTGTTCTATTATTATGTTATTATTATTTTAATATTTGTATTATTTTATTATTATTCTATTATTATTTTAATATTGGTATTTTTTTTTTATAGTTTTTTGTCCCCCCTCCCTGCCTGGCCAGGGAGTGGGGCTATGTGAATCCCTGGATGTCAAGTGGCATTGGTTGTTCAGTGGGGGGGCTGACAGCGAGCTCTTACTTCCCTTCTGAAGCTCCTGTCAGCTCCTTTCTCCTCCGTGCAGCTCCCCTGTCAGCTCCGTTCTGCTTACAGTGTAAGTCTCGCGACACCCGCTTACATTGTGAGCAGAACGGAGCTGACAGGGGAGCTGCACGGAGGAGAAGGGAGCTGACAGGAACTGCAGGAAGGTAAGTGTCAGCCCCCAACAGGATCGCCGGGCTTGTAATGAGCCCGGCGGCCCTGGTCTGTATTATGGCAATTTAAGTAATAATACAGACCTTGATTTGAGTATAAGCCGAGTGGGGGGGTTTTCAGCACAAAAAATGTGCTGAAAAACTCGGCTTATACTCGAGTATATACGGTACATATGAATTAAAATACTAGTAAAAATAAAGATATCAATAAAAATGAAAAATGCAATTATATGCTCCTACAATATAGTAGGTGGTGTGAAGGCATGCCGGTGATCTACACAGAAGTGTGGAACAAGTGCTACTATGGCCCATTATCTCCTTCACTGTTTTTGATTGTTTTACGACTCTAGGAATGCCGACTTGGAGACGTCTCATTACAGGGTGGATGTATTGAATATTATAGGGTAAAGTGATCTGATTTTTTTCTTGTTAAAAAAGGTAATTTTATATCTTACATTAAAGAGTGAAACCAAGATAGAGAGCTTTGCGTGCTCCCTCCGTCCACCCTTTGCTTCCGAAGCCGGAGCGTAACGTATGTAGGAATCAGCCCGGCTAGCTCAGTCGGTAGAGCATGAGACTCTTAATCTCAGGGTCGTGGGTTCGAGCCCCACGTTGGGCGAGATATGTCATTTTATGTCTCCTTTATTGAAAAAAAAAAGAGAAGGAAGGTGCTTACATTTGGCCTAGGGAATAATAAAAGTCACCATATATGAGAGCAGATTGTATATTTGAAAAACATAGAAGGTGAAGAAATAAGAGTGTAGGTCTTTGGAAAAGTGTGTCAAGAAATGTAATTGTTGTAAGACGATTGAGGAATTCTTACGAAACATTTTAGTAGAGGGAGATTTTCAAATCTAACCATAAACCAGTGGACACAAACTAGCTGGGGAAAATGTTAACAAAATGCTACCTCATAATATAAGGAAATAAGCCATATTATTTCCATAAGAGCAATGAAGCCATTGTTTAAGAAGGCAACTTTATATGGGTTAGTGGAGCTAAATCTCACCTTCCCACATAAGCAACTACGGCCTATGATCTCCTTCACCATCAGGCCAGGAGAAATGAAACGATCCAAAAGGGGTAGGTTTTCAATGCTAATCACATGTTACTGGACACAGTCTAACTGAATAAAATCTAAATTAACCCCCACTGTCAGACAAAAGCTACTATGGCCCATCATTTCCTTCACCATTTCTAATTGTTTTACGACTCTAGAAATGCAGACTTGGAGACTTCTCGTTATGATCCAAAAAGGGGAGATTTTCAAATCTAATCACCTGGACACAAACTAAGGGAATAAAATCAAAACTAGATCTCACTGTGGAACAAGAGCTACTATGGCCCATTATCTCCTTCACTGTTTTTGATTGTTTTACGACTCTAGGAATGCCGACTTGGAGACGTCTCATTACAGGGTGGATGTATTGAATATTATAGGGTAAAGTGATCTGATTTTTTTCTTGTTAAAAAAGGTAATTTTATATCTTACATTAAAGAGTGAAACCAAGATAGAGAGCTTTGCGTGCTCCCTCCGTCCACCCTTTGCTTCCGAAGCCGGAGCGTAACGTATGTAGGAATCAGCCCGGCTAGCTCAGTCGGTAGAGCATGAGACTCTTAATCTCAGGGTCATGGGTTCGAGCCCCACGTTGGGCGAGATATGTCATTTTATGTCTCCTTTATTGAAAAAAAAAAGAGAAGGAAGGTGCTTACATTTGGCCTAGGGAATAATAAAAGTCACCATATATGAGAGCAGATTGTATATTTGAAAAACATAGAAGGTGAAGAAATAAGAGTGTAGGTCTTTGGAAAAGTGTGTCAAGAAATGTAATTGTTGTAAGACGATTGAGGAATTCTTACGAAACATTTTAGTAGAGGGAGATTTTCAAATCTAACCATAAACCAGTGGACACAAACTAGTTGGGGAAAATGTTAACAAAATGCTACCTCATAATATAAGGAAATAAGCCATATTATTTCCATAAGAGCAATGAAGCCATTGTTTAAGAAGGCAACTTTATATGGGTTAGTGGAGCTAAATCTCACCTTCCAACATAAGCAACTACGGCCTATGATCTCCTTCACCATCAGGCCAGGAGAAATGAAACGATCCAAAAGGGGTAGGTTTTCAATGCTAATCACATGTTACTGGACACAGTCTAACTGAATAAAATCTAAATTAACCCCCACTGTCAGACAAGAGCTACTATGGCCCATCATTTCCTTCACCATTTCTAATTGTTTTACGACTCTAGAAATGCAGACTTGGAGACTTCTCGTTATGATCCAAAAAGGGGAGATTTTCAAATCTAATCACCTGGACACAAACTAAGGGAATAAAATCAAAACTAGATCTCACTGTGGAACAAGAGCTACTATGGCCCATTATCTCCTTCACTGTTTTTGATTGTTTTACGACTCTAGGAATGCCGACTTGGAGACGTCTCATTACAGGGTGGATGTATTGAATATTATAGGGTAAAGTGATCTGATTTTTTTCTTGTTAAAAAAGGTAATTTTATATCTTACATTAAAGAGTTAAACCAAGATAGAGAGCTTTGCGTGCTCCCTCCGTCCACCCTTTGCTTCCAAAGCCGGAACGTAACGTATGTAATAATCAGCCCGGCTAGCTCAGTCGGTAAACAGAGATGGCATTATCTCCTTAACGTTTTTGTCGTTTACGATCACGTTGGACGAGACGTCTCATTTTAGGGTGGATGTATTGAAGAAATGTAATTGTTGTAAGCGATTGAGGAATTCTTACGAAACATTTTAGTAGAGGGAGATTTTCAAATCTAACCATAAACCAGTGGACACAAACTAGCTGGGGAAAATGTTAACAAAATGCTACCTCATAATATAAGGAAATAAGCCATATTATTTCCATAAGAGCAATGAAGCCATTGTTTAAGAAGGCAACTTTATATGGTTAGTGGAGCTAAATCTCACCTTCCACACATAAGCAACTTCGGCCTATGATCTCCTTCACCATCAGGCCAGGAGAAATGAAACGATCCAAAAGGGGTAGGTTTTCAATGCTAATCACATGTTACTGGACACAGTCTAACTGAATAAAATCTAAATTAACCCCCACTGTCAGACAAGAGCTACTATGGCCCATCATTTTTCCTTCACCATTTCCTGTTTTACACGACTCTAGAAATGCAGACTTGGAGACTTCTCGTTATGATCCAAAAAGGGGAGATTTTCAAATCTAATCACCTGGACACAAACTAAGGGAATAAAATCAAAACTAGATCTCACTGTGGAACAAGAGCTACTATGGCCCATTATCTCCTTCACTGTTTTTGATTGTTTTACGACTCTAGGAATGCCGACTTGGAGGCGTCTCATTACAGGGTGGATGTATTGAATATTATAGGGTAAAGTGATCTGATTTTTTTCTTGTTAAAAAAGGTAATTTTATATCTTACATTAAAGAGTTAAACCAAGATAGAGAGCTTTGCGTGCTCCCTCCGTCCACCCTTTGCTTCCAAAGCCGGAACGTAACATATGTAGCAATCATCCCGGCTAGCTCAGTCGGTAGAGCATGAGACTCTTAATCTCATTATCTCCTTCACGTTTTTGATTTTTTCTGATCCTGTCTTATGTCTGGAGCGTGTTAACAAAGTCACCATATATGAGAGGATTGTATTAAGAGATGTCTTTGGAAAAGTGTGTCAAGTGGTTGTAAGACGATTGAGGAATTCTTATGAAACATTTTAGTAGAGGGAGATTTTCAAATCTAACCATAAACCATTGGACACAAACTAGCTGGGGAAAATGTTAACAAAATGCTACCTCATAATATAAGGAAATAAGCCATATTATTTCCATAAGAGCAATGAAGCCATTGTTTAAGAAGGCAACTTTATATGGGTTAGTGGAGCTAAATCTCACCTTCCAACATAAGCAACTACGGCCTATGATCTCCTTCACCATCAGGCCAGGAGAAATGAAACGATCCAAAAGGGGTAGGTTTTCAATGCTAATCACATGTTACTGGACACAGTCTAACTGAATAAAATCTAAATTAACCCCCACTGTCAGACAAGAGCTACTATGGCCCATCATTTCCTTCACCATTTCTAATTGTTTTACGACTCTAGAAATGCAGACTTGGAGACTTCTCGTTATGATCCCAAAAAGGGAAGTTGCAAATCTAATCACCTGGACAAACTAAGAATAAAAGAGTAAGCCGATCTCACTGTGGAACAAAAGAGCTACTATGGCCCATTATCTCCTTCCCTATTTTTGATTGTTTTCACGACTCTAGGAATGCCGACTTAGGCGTCCTCATTACAGGGTGGTGTGAATATTATAGGGTAAAAAGTGATCACGATTTTTCTTTGTTAAGGTATTTTGTATCTTACATTAAAGAAGTTAAACAAGATAGGAAGCTTTCGCGGTACTCCCTCCGTCCACCCTTTTGCTTCCAAAGCCGAGGCATAACATATGTAATAAAATCAAAACTAGATCTCACTGTGGAACAAGAGCTACTATGGCCCAATATCTCCTTCACTGTTTTTGATTGTTTTACGACTCTAGGAATGCCGACTTGGAGACGTCTCATTACAGGGTGGATGTATTGAATATTATGTAATTGTTGTAAGACGATTGAGGAATTCTTACGAAACATTTTAGTAGAGGGAGATTTTCAAATCTAACCATAAACCAGTGGACACAAACTAGCTAGGGAAAATGTTAACAAAATGCTACCTCATAATATAAGGAAATAAGCCATATTATTTCCATAAGAGCAATGAAGCCATTGTTTAAGAAGGCAACTTTCGTGGGTTCGAGCCCCACGTTGGGCGAGATATGTCATTTTATGTCTCCTTTATTGAAAAAAAAAAGAGAAGGAAGGTGCTTACATTTGGCCTAGGGATTAATAAAAGTCACCATATATGAGAGCAGATTGTATATTTGAAAAACATAGAAGGTGAAGAAATAAGAGTGTAGGTCTTTGGAAAAGTGTGTCAAGAAATGTAATTGTTGTAAGACGATTGAGGAATTCTTATGAAACATTTTAGTAGAGGGAGATTTTCAAATCTAACCATAAACCATTGGACACAAACTAGCTGGGGAAAATGTTAACAAAATGCTACCTCATAATATAAGGAAATAAGCCATATTATTTCCATAAGAGCAATGAAGCCATTGTTTAAGAAGGCAACTTTATATGGGTTAGTGGAGCTACATCTCACCTTCCCACATAAGCAACTACGGCCTATGATCTCCTTCACCATCAGGCCAGGAG